ACCGCATAGACCTAACCCGAAAACCATTGGGAGGTTTTGGGTTGCACTATGCGACCGCATAGTGTTGTGGTCACGGGTTTTAACCCGTGACCACATCCTCCTTCCCCAAGTTATTTTTTTTTTTTTTCTCCCCCCCCCCCCCCTCTTTCCCTATTTTTCTTTTTCCATTTTTTCCTTATTGTGTTTTTTCCACCTTTTTTTGTTTTTGTTTTTGTTTTTTTTAAATGGAATGTTCATCTCATTCATCATTTGGGTCAAAGAGTCGGCCATTTTTCCGTTCTTTTTTTTTTTTTTCCCTCTTTTTGCTTTCCTTTCCTTTTTCCTTTTTTCCCCCTTTTTCTTCCATTTTTCCCTTACATTTTAATTAAAAAATTATATAATAAATTATTTTTTTACTTTTGTCTGTAATTTATTTAGTTTTTTATTAGTATCGATGTAAAATGAATCTACGTTTCACATATAGTTGTTGCAATTCCGTTCGCTTCATTTTTTGAGATTATGCTTTATTTCGTTATATCTTGTTCAATGTTTTAACATTTGAATTTTTGTAGGAAGAAATACCATCTGGACATGGAGTTGAGACAGATATCAGAGAAAGCTACTTAGAACTATAGTTTTGACAGTTTCACTATTGTATTAGAGCTGCTGGATATCAGCACGCAGATATTCTATGTCAATCCTTCTTTTAGTCTCTCTATCAGTTGAGGGAGGTCCAATACTCCAAGCAGATCATCGATGGAATACTATGTCGGTTACTCAGGTCAGTCAACAGAAGTGCCTTCCACTTTGACCTCGAGAGCAAAGTCGTTATGTTCTTCTTGTTCTAGTTTGCCCTGATGACCAGACTAAAGATTACGGGCGATGAAGCAGCTCGTGACGGTATTCATAGAAGCAATAGGCTGCATGATACTTATTTCGAAGGATATGAGATGATTCTTCTGTCGCTAATTGGCGCAATCAGGGAGTGCGACCAAATGTTAAACAGACTAAAGCTAGGACTGATCTACATCTTGAGAGCGTGGTACAGTGTTATCACAAAAAGATTGCGATCATCTTCCATTTAGAGATCGTTGACAACATCGACGCTTTCAACAACTATCCGTGAGGTCGGAGATATTTTGAGGATACCATACACATCTTCAATAGATAACACTTGAAGCCCAAGGGATCCCTGGGTAAGTATGATATCTGTGGATTGCCTTTGATAGTGAAGGTAAATGTTCAACATAATCAACGTTAAAATATTTTTTATACTAAATTTATATATAATAATTGTATGTGTTGCAAATTTGGGTATATGAGACTATTTCCTTATTAGGTACCCATTTTATGAAGCAAGGAAAAACACTCTGCCTTCGTATGCATCATTAGCGAGCATCTCGAGCGGACGGATGTCCATTTGAGAAACAATGATCGGCTTTCCTAGACGACTCTCATGAGAGTATTATACATTTGTGATTAATATTGTACGTAGTTTAAAATCTCATTACATGATCATTAACTAATTGAAATATCAATATGTCAGTTTGAAATCATAACTAATTTGATGCTGTCGGGGAGGGGGATGGTAGAGGTCTTCTACCTGATTTAGTTACTCTGCACACTCAAAACGACCGGATGTTCAATTTCGTTCTGGACTAAGATTGGGTATGTAAATTGAATATAATTTATTGATTACCTTTTTGTATGAGTTAACAATTATTAACTAAGTTAATAATTTTTAATGTTATTATTTGTGTAGAAGCACGATCCAATTGATCAACTATCACATTCGTCAGGGGCATCACCTCTGTCTACGAGATCTCCTTATCCCCCTCCAGACACTCCCATATAGATCTCTTGTACACAATCAGAGTCATTATTTCGATGATCAGGCCAAGTCGGCACGCTACGACGATAGCTGATAGCAAGGTCGACGATTTATACTACAATATTGGAGTGTTATGTGAACACTTTGTAGACCTTTAGGATGAGATTGTAGCGCTTCAAAGTGATATAGCAAGCAAGTTTTGAGGTAGAGTAGAGGGTGATTGGGAGGATGATGGAGAGGGGGGTCACCCATAGTTGTTGACAGACGATGCATTAGAATTATTTTTATTATTTGTAGAGCGAAAAGGAGTGGCCCAATGAGGATGTGAAAGGTGGCAGAGGAGGGGAGGACGAAGGGGTGGCCCCAATGGGGACGAGAGAGGTAGCGAAGGAAGGGAGGACGGAGGAGATAGTGAGCCTCGAGATGGAGGTGGTGGCGAGGCCCCAGGAGGTGGTGGTCTCCAGGGAAAAGGATGTAGCTATCCCTAGGATGAAGAAGGAGAGGACATTCGCGGTGACTAAGAGTAAGAAGTATGCTGTTGATGTGCCTGAACAGGTGGTCGACAGTAGGTCGAGATTGCTGTTACAGTACGTAGTCTCTCTCTTCTTAGCTGAGGCGAAGAGGAGGAGGTTCGTCGACTGAACGTACCCTAATCTTTTTCGAAAGGTGGACCATGCTAAGTAGAAGGCGTTCGAAACAGAGTGGAGAAGAATATTTGCTCAAGTATTCTATGATTTTAGTAAAATACGCTACGCTAAGCTTTTTTTAACATTTTATCTTCTTCTTTTTTTCAGAGCTTGTAGCATGATAGCTCAAAGAACGATCCTGGACTCTTATACGTGGTTCCATGACATCACTTCTTTGGGAGCTTAGCTCTTCAATGATGTAAGTGAAGCAGTCATATTATTATTTTATATGTATACATAATTTTTTGCCTATTAAATGAAATAACTCCCTCTTTTTTATTGGTGTTTCTTGATGTAGCACATCGATCTGTCCATAGACCTATTGCATGATCAAGATGAAAAGATATCCAAAATCATTTTACATTTCTGATCGAGTCATATTGAATATCGAGTTCATATCCAACTTATGGATAACGAGTACACGGTTCTTGAATATATGCTCGAGTGGATCATTAGGATGTCATCGAGTATTGGGGTAAAGCCATGGGAGGGTTGTACATATGTGTACATTCTAGTGATCACAAATCATCACTGTATTATTGTAGAGATCGACTAATATAACTCGACTATATATGTGTACGATCCCGACCATTTGTGTCTCACACAGGGTCAACTCGAACAAAACCTGGAGCTAATGGCTGTGATCGTTCCTCTGATGGTTAGATAAGCAGGAGTGACTGTGAAGGATAGACTAGCTATCATGCGGGACAGGACGACGGCGAGACAATCAATATCGTAAGTATTTGTATTTTTTTAAACTTAAAACTTAGTTTTTAGCTGCAAGAAACCGAATTAACACATTATTATTTAATTGGAGGGACGATTGTGACATGCATGCCATAAAGTACATTGAATTTTTGAATATAACACATAAAGTTGATAGAATTAACCAATCATAGATACATATTTGAGGAAATAAATTAGCGTGTCATCTATATGAATTTAATTGTGATACGTAAATGCTGTATATTGAATTTTTTTTAATTATGAAATAACTGTAAATATTGTAAAATTTATGCATACATTGAATTTTTTTTTTTGTAATTATGAAATGATTATTTATTTAGTTACGAATTAATTTTGTATATTGTAAAATAAATGTAAATATTGTTCATTTAACAACGACATTATTACACACCGATCTAATTGTCATTTAGGAGAATATGACTTGTACAAAATTGGCAAGTATGTCCTATCGCTCTACACCTGCCGCACTTACGCGGTCGAAGAAACTTTATGGTAGATGGTATTCTAGATGTACATGGATGTTCAGATCACGCAGTTCAACTTTTGGTGGCAACAATGTATTAAGTGGGAGAATATGATCGAGAACTTTCCACTCGACTTTATTCGGTAAATAAAGTATAGTCTCAACATACGTTGCTCTCGAAGAATCGATCGTATAATAAAGAGAGCATAATGTTCTCATTGTAAAGTCTCAATACATAGCCACCACGACCTC